AATTGCCAGGGTTTCTTGGAAAGAAGATGAGGACCCAAAGCATGGGGAACCATGCCAATTCCAAGGTGCAATACGAGCATGGCGAGATACCAATAGCAGCACTTATGGTCAACACTAGGGTGGACCTTCTAAAACAGTCAGAAAAAGTGCCAGAAAAAATACCAGAAATGCCACCAAGGAAGTAAATAAATACCTTAGGAAGGAGGTGGCAGCAGACAACCAGAGGGCCAAACCAAATTCAACAGAGGGAAGGAAACCAATGCACCTGGTATGGATTAGAAAACCAGTGCCCAGAGCACCTGGAGCTGACACAGACCACCATACAGAACCCAAGACTGAAAACAACTAATATGGAACCATGGCCAAAACCCAGTGGCTCGAGACTCCAACTGAAAAGAAAGAAACATACCCCAACAATCAATACCAACCAAAAATGCAGGCCATGGCACCCTGGGCAAAGGACACGCAGCCAAATTAGCCCAGAGGTAACAACCTTCCAGGGCAGAAGGCATCAAGAAAATGAAGACCAGGGCAAAGAGCCAGGAGAAGCAGGAAAACACTCCAGACATGGCAACCAGAGTAATAGAAAGCTCCTGGACAGACAAAAAAACAAAAAAACAAATTATCCCGCCTCCACAACAAGATTAGCAAGACAGCTGCAAAGGCAAACCAACCTAGCCCAGCCCAGAACCATGAGGGCACAGCACAAGGGAAGCTTAAGAGCCAGGGCTTGGAACAAAAACTTTATCCATTTATATAGGAAGTGTGGACTTCTCACATCAAGGCACAGCCCAGCAACCACCTGAGGGAAAGAAAAACCCACCTGAGAACTGCAAGGCATAGCCCAGAAATGTCTGGGCACACAGCTCGGAAACAATCACTAGCCCCCTCCCAAAAAAAGCACCCTCGGCAAAAGTGCTCAGCCCCAAAACACAGTAGCAAGGCCATGTGCGATCACAACACAGGCACGCAGGTAACTACTACCCTGTAATGACTAGCATTTTATATGAATTTTAAATTTACAGTACATTTTTCATTATATTGTCAACATCTTAAGAAGTGTGTATGGCAGTGTCCACGGAGTACTGTTTGTTAGCATAACATGATACACCATGCCTAGTGTCACTTGTCATCCCACTTCTCTGAGAACTGCTCAGTCTTGTAGAGGACAGCATTGGGAGGTACCACCTCATTTGAGACATTTACCTAGATTTTCTCTCATTATCACAGAAAGCTACATGTATTTAATTCTAGACGAGTGATAAACATATCCACATATATATTGTGATTTCTCTTGTGTTAAACAAAAATATATGCAATGCATGCAGATAAGATGGTTTGTTTAGTTCTCAATTCAAAATAGTTGTGTAGCCCATGTTTAATATATGAAATTAAAATAAGTGACATTAATCTCCTATGTATTGAACTTTAGTGATTTTATTTGACCCTTAATTACATTACATGTCATTCCTTGAATTCCCACTCTGTATTTATTATATTCTTTAAGTTCCCACCTTTTTCCCATCATAAATTTACTTAAGTATATACCTGTTTAAGCCCCCACATCCCAACGCTCCCTTATAACACTCCTCACAGCTCATTGTCGAGGAACCCAAACCCTACAAAACAGGTGGAGGATCTCTGGTGATGCAGGGAAATCACAAACCGACTACTGTACCAAGGAAAGGGACCCAGGCCCAGTTGAAGCAAAATACAACTTCAGGGCATACTTAATATAACATACAGCATAATTATGAAGGAGAGGGAGGGAATTATTAGGGGAAAGCGCCAAGCCATTGTGACAATACTGACTCCAGGTCGAACTAATATTCTGGAGATAGCTAACACTAGAGCAAGGCAGAGAATGAGGCCAGTCAGAGGTTCTGCGACACCTATGCTGTGAGTAAGAAGGTAGGCTTGGGTGACCTGGGCTGCTACCTAATGGTGGCCAGGTGCATCACAATTGGAGTGTTTACCCCACTGTAATGATTAACTCTTTTTAAGTCGGGAACCTAATTTTCTTTAAGCAGGTGCTTATTTTCTTGCACTTGTGCTTCCTGGTGGGCTTGTCTCTGTTTTGAGTCGATATCCAATTGTTAAGCTCCCATCTTGTGAAAGCTAGATTTTGATTCTGAGCCCCCCGTAGGTGATGGTGGGTCTTGGAGTTTTGGTACATCTCCCTAAACTTTGGCTGGACCAGTGAATAGCTCATGGACTTGGAAAATCCCTCCCAGAAATGAGGATCTACTGTGTATAATGATAAAGGATGATATATTTAATCCATCAGTATACAAATATTACAACTATTATATATATTTGCTAAAACTTGTGTACTCTACTTAGTTTTTTAATAATTTTATGTTATAATGCAATCACTAAAGTTTAAAAGCTACGACACTACTAATAATGCATACATGTGCTATACACGAATTAGCATGTAAAAAAAAAAAAAATATATATATATATATATATTTTCTCCTACTTAACAATAATTTACATGGACAAACCTAAGCAATTTAAATATTTCGAACAACAAATATTTGAAAATCCTTAATAATCAAGGTACAAGCAGTCCTCAACTTACGAATGAGGTGCATTCCAAACAGACATAGCGAGTCAAACATATGCAACTCAAAACCAAATTTCCCCAATAGCCCAATGCTGTAAGTGGCTGGGATACATTTCTAGACTAAAAATTGACATATAAAGCCCACTCTGGGGACAAATGATATAAAACATGGCTTTCTATTTACCTTGAATGATGGAATTGCCCTTGTTTGATTGTAGGTTTTTTTGAAGAGGAAAGATTTATTACTAGAGGTAGGTAGGTAAGGTGATGAATGGGCATTGGTGCATCACTAACACTACACTTCCTCTTGTCAATCATTAATGTGGCCCCTTTTCTTAGATAAAACCGAAATTGTGCTTTACAAGCACTGTTTGTTATGCATGGACTTCAGAATTGGTTTGTGTAGTGGGACATAGAGTTAAAATTGGTATTTTGAAGCCATGCGTAAGATCAGATGTTTGCAAGTTGGGGACTCTGTATTCCTCCTCAAAACAAAAGGTATAAAAATTGTCAACCACTGCCTTTGTCTCAATGTTCACATGGCAAACATTATCCCTTAGACAGCAGTTATCTTCAAATGTTGATTCACGGGGTAATGAGATTATCATGATATGATGATTTTTAACAATTGTCTGGGTTTTACATGTATGATACAAATAAGGATGTAATGGCTCTGTGGAAGTATTGGCATTTACCATGACCCATTAAAAAATTGTGCTATCGTTTCATGGTTGTTACTATGTAAATGTGGTTATCATCATGGATGTTACTAGGTGAATGTCATCATCGTCCTTGTATAAATTGTCATCATAATTACAGGATACATATACTAATGAGGTATACCAGGTAAACCAATCATTGAACAGGGAGAGAATAGCTTGTACTCGTCATCCCTTTGTATTTTACCTCAATAAACTTGTTTCAATTTCAACCGATCATCAATTGAACCATTATCATGCAATACATTGTACTATAGCAAGAACACAATAAAGTAGCAGTCACAACTGCAAGAAAAATGACAGGTTGGATAACAAGAACCTTTCAAACAAGAAATGCTATACCAGGGATACTTTTCAAGACACTAGTACTCTCCAGAGTGAATACTGTTGCACAATGACAGCCCCTTTCAAAGCTGCAGAAATTGCTGACCTAGAGTGTGCAGAGATCTTCTACTGCTAGAATCCACTCTGTAAAACATCTAAACTATTGGTACCGACTAAAATGCCTAAATCTGTATTCTCTAGAGTGCAGGTGGGGGAAGAGACATAATAATTTATATGTGGAAAATATTAGAAGGGCTGGTCCCAAATCTGCATCAAATAACATCAAATGATACCAGAAGGCATGGCAGGATTTGCAGAATACCCCCCGTTGAAAAGCAGAGGTGCAATTGGTATTCTGAGGGAGAACTATCAACATCAGAGGCCCGAGACTGTTCAACATGCTTCCACTACACTACACAAACTGGTAGACCCCTCAGTGTTAGAGAACTTGATAAACACCTCCAAAGGATACCTGATCAACCAGGCTGTGATTCATATGTCAGGCTATGAGCAGCCATGTCCAACAGCCTGGTTGACCAGTCCAGCAACCAGGAGGTCTGGTCAAGAATCAGGCCACCGAACGTTTAGCCCCAAGATCTGTGCAAGGTGTAGCCTGTCATCTGTGGGTGACACATTGGTGGCTTATGGATTTATTTCACTCCATACTAAAACACGTTTTGTGCCAATTAAACCGTATGTGTATATTATGTCTATATCCTTTCACTACTCTATATGGTTGTAATGAAGTATATTAGGTAAACCAATCATCAGTTTAAACATTACCATATGTGAATTATGTGATTTATCAAGTTATTCAACACACACACTGTTGTAAATATAGGAATAAGTGATAAACAATCGGTGAAACATCTGAGGATAATACAGGAGCCATGTCTCGCATACCTGTCAGCAAAATCGGGCATCGTGTGTTGACAGATACCATACCACATAGCTAGCACGCAATCTTTCAGAGTGCCTCCACCCAGTATTAAAAAATAAAAAAATACCTTTTGCATAAAAATTAATACAGCAATTCTATAATAATTTTTTTTTTAAATTACTTTTTGTGCATGAGCAGGAATGATCGTTTAGCTATAGCCGCTGCCAAAGGGTTAAAAAGTTAGGCATTGCCAACATATCAATCAACTCTAAACGAACCACAGCAAATAGAAAACAAATACATCAATAAGTTATGAATAATTGCTCAATGAACACCCAACATAGTGATGGTGTACTCACATTAGTGTACTTTCTCTGGGCTTAGACCAAACCAAAAGCAACGTTCAGCACTTAAAAAGTAGATAATCCATGGGAACATAATTCACCCCATTGCTAATGACCAATTGTACACTATTTCCCTTTCACGTATATGAGTAGTAGTAAAAATATGCATTCATAACATTTAATAGGCATAAATAGTTACATGTATAATTTATCTTTTTCAGCATGTAAAATACACTGTATAAGCATTTTTTGTCTGACCTCATGATGTACAGTATCCAATTTTCTTTTCTAATAAAGGCAGTGTAATGGAATCTTTGTTAAAGTATACTAGTTTTCAATGTATAGTATACTGTATTAACTTCAGACTTGTTCTCCTGTCAATCTAATATCCGCCATAGTAGGGTGGCTGAGGAGCAAATGTTCCGGGATTGCTTCCATCTCTCTGAAAATAAAAACTTTTTTAAGAAATAATACAAGACTAGTATTTTTCCACCTTGCACTTTGATATCCTGGCTTAGTGGCTTCTCTAAAGGCACCTTTACAAGTTTGCCACACAAATAATATCATAGGGTTCTATCTTGAAGGATATAATTTCCCTGTCAGACAGAGGAAACTGGTACTCAAGACTTATTGAGGTCCCTTGGGCCAACTACTGACTACACCTATGATTCAACCCATAATATTTGCCTAACCTCTGGGTACATATTTACTGCTAGACTCACAGAGGCATCAGGTGAAAGGAAACGATGCCCAACCATTTCTGTACCTTTGGCATGAACTCATTAGTTATAAAGTGAATTCATAAATATTTGTGTCTACTATTACAGAACATTTTTAAGTCTCTTATCCATTGGTCAGAGGAGAGGATTTGCAAATCTTTCTTTCCCTCCCAAACTGAGGGAGGGAATTATCAGGGAAAAGTGCCAAGCCATTACGACTATGTAGCACTTGGAAGGGGTCAGGATAAGGATTTGGGATGGGAGGGCAGGGGGGAGATGTAAGGAATGATGCCCAACAACTTGGACGGTCGGAGATTGAACGCCGATCTGCATGAAGCGAGACCGTCACTCTACTGTCCAGCCCAAGTTTGCAAAGGACTGAACTGCCTCCAGGTCATTACAGCACATAATCCATTACCACAGAAATGGGACAATTTGTAGCAGCAACCCAAGAGTATATTACTAAACAAATTGCAAGTCTCCAGGTTTTCCCACCTTCGAGAAAGCACATATAGGTTACACTTAACAATATTAAAGTTTAAGCAATATTACTAGGTATGCAGAAATGGAAGAGTCAGAGGCTTGCATTTGATACAACAAATTAACTATGATAGCACTACAATGTAATAAATTTACAAGTACAGTAGTGTTGAATACTGACAATAAACAAGTAAGAAATGACAACATTTTCTTAGTGTGGTTTCTTACTAACCTTGAGAGTTTGCATTTGCTGTTCTAATAAGTGTGCCTCTTCATGCATACCATGTAAATGGTAGTAATCAATCCATTCCTGGGAGTAGTTACATGGCTGAGTAAGAGGAGGACATGTAACTGGCACTACTGCTGCTGCTGCCATCACTCCGGGGGCTGGTGCTGGTGGCCCAGTCCCTTTTAAATGGTCCTGTAAATGTCCAAAGTTAACCAACAACTGCAACATCAGCTCGTCTTTATGATTAAATTAATACAACAAATTCTTAACGTAACTACGACACTAACTAATAACTACTAATCTAATATTTTACTGCTTTATTTTATTTTTATATATTTTTATATTTTTATTTTATATATTCTATTTTATTTTATATATTTTATATATTCTATATTTTTATTTTTAATATTTTTAATCTAATATTTTAACTACTAATCTAATATTTACATTTCTACACATTTAAGAGCACTTTAGGTTCTAAATTTCAAAGTTTATTTTCAAGGGTTAAAATAGAAAAACTTTATTTGTTCTACATCACAGTTAATAGAAGCCAATACATCCAGTAGATGATTTAAGTGAAATGGGTAAAAATGGATGAATCCAGGTATGTGAGGCCGGACTACTATAGTGTTAAGTAACCCAATAAACCCCCTGATATGTTGGTCCTAAGTAACACGTTATGTTGTCAGGAAAGTACTTTTCATTGGAACGGAACTAAATATAATGACCCTGTATAGTGCTGATTCGGTTAGTGATTTAGTTTCAAATCCTAGGGTATTATTTGTATCCCCATACAAATTATTCTTAATTTTTGTATTATCAGTTTACCCAAATGGTGGTATATTAATTTTTTTGTTTACATTTTTGAGTGCATAGTAAGATTTTGGTCAAACAATATGAAGAGAGCCGATTCATTGCAACCATGAATTATTTTGATTCGTCAGGGCCCTAGCCTGACTTCCCCCCCCTCCCCCCTCCATTCCTCCTAATATGGTAACTGGCCTGTCATGCTAAGTACAAAATTTCCCATACCATATTTAAACAGAAAAATACCCACAAAGGGTTAAGTTTATATTTTGATATCTAGTTCAAATGAGTGAACATTTTTTAGTGAACTAAGCACTAGTTGCTTAGCACAGATTCTATATTTTTTCCTTCATCAGTGATCTAAGGGAGCCAGTCGGCCGAGCGGATAGCACACTGGACTTGTGATCCTGTGGTCCTGGGTTCGATCCCAGGCTCCTGCGAGAAACAATGGGCAAAGTTTCTTTCACTCTATGCCCCTGTTACCTAGCAGTAAAATAGGTACCTGGGTGTTAGTCAGCTGTCACGGGCTGCTTCCTGGGGGTGGAGGCCTGGTCGAGGACAGGGCCGCGGGGACACTAAAGCCCCGAAATCATCTCAAGATAACCTCAAGATATCTACTTACCATTATGCTTCTAGCTTGCTGTTCCATAATCTCGGCTTCTCTGTGCATTCCGTAACTGCGGTAGTAACTAGCCCACTTGGCCAGCTGTGTAGGATAGTCTGAATGACCACCTGGAATTATAATCTAATTTTAATTTGGCTTAGAAGCAATATAGTATATCTTCAAGTACTTTATGATAGTGACAATTAGCTTTTTCCAGCCTACACCAAGATGGTTACTAAAACTAGAAAACAATAGTGGATTACATATGCTTCCTACAAAAAATATGGACGTTCTTAAAGCATGCTAAATAGTATTTAAGACGGAGAATAAATATAAAATACAAAATTGGTTTTAAGAACGAGGAATACCTTCATACCTTTAGTTAATACAATACAGTACTGATATAACAAGACAAACTGATGATACTTATACAATGCAGTATGATTTTATAACACCTATTTCTATATTTATGTAACTATATTATCATCAATTTATAATCAGAATTTTGTTTAATTTTTATTTCCCAACTAATAATCAAGTTTAGCTAGAGATTAAAACTAACTCGCCTGAGCAGTATGCGTGTAGGTGAGTGAAAGGTGGTGCCCTTGTTAGTGGAGGATGGGGTGTGCCGCCTCCTAGACTGCCAACACCAGCTTCTGGTGCTTCTGCTCCACTGACATTTGCAGAGGGGTTATTGTCTCCTGGGGTGGCTTCAGACAGGCCCTGAATATTAAGAATTGTAAAATATATATTACCCCATTTTCTTTATTCAATAAAGGTAGGATACTAATTAAGCATAGACAGAGATATCATTTTATAAATATTCTTTGGCACTCATCCATTCACCATAACTTGCACTTGCGTACTGTTCACACTTGTCCCACAATTGATCAAACAGTGAAAATTAACAGTCCACATCCCAAGTACACATGAGGATGACATTCACAAAATCCAACTTGTAGGGGGAATCAATGATTTGTGACCAGCTCAAATAGTTCTTGGGCAGGAATACTCTGTATCAAAAATGTTTTCCAGGTGTTCGAGCTGACAATATTAGACACTGTGTATAAGGTGCGCGAATGTGCAGTAAGCAACACTCTTAATGTTCATATAAGACAATGTAAAAAGAACAAGGTTGGAAGAATTGCTGTAAAATTTTAAATTGATGATTTTGCATCTGAAAGTTAAAATTGATAACATTAATTTCAGTTCTTCTGAGTTGTACAACTGAAAATGAGTGGTTCAACACAGCTTTCAGATTAAATAATTGCTTAGTCTCATTGTTTACAGGAAGGAGAATATTCAAGAAAACGTAAGATAATTTTTATGAGCAATACCAATTACACAATAGATATGCAGAAATTTAGTTTGATTTAGAAAACCAATTATCAGGCTAAGCATGCAATTCCAGATTATAATCTTCACAATTGATAGAAGAAATAAAGCTGGTGTTGAAGTCATACTATTAAACCGTGCATAAAACTTACAATGAAAAGTCGTGGGATACTGTGAATATCAACTCAAAATCTAAAAACATCAAAAGATAATCAACAAAACATAGAAACCATAGGCTTAATATACAGTATCTATTCAACCATTCATCATTGATAAGCATACATACAGTGTGATCAATTTCCAGAAATGGTCAAATCTAGAATGATACTTTTCTCTTTGATAAGGAGAGCATGATGCAAGTCCACTAACCTTTGTTTGCATAAGCGCAATAAGCTTTTCTTTAATTGATGCAGATGGTTCTTGCGAGTTGATTGTCCTCTCTTGCCCTGTTGTGGTGATGTCCTGATCTCTGTCAGTGCGATCTTGAGCTTCAGTGCTATTTTCTTGATCATAGTTTCTCATCATGTCAAGGGCAAAGGCAGTCACTGTATGCATCTAGTGTATGAGAAAAAAGCAATAACTTTTCTACAATATAAAATTATTAATATAGTTGCAGGCAATGAGTCACAATAACGTGGCTAAAGTATGTTGACCAGACAATACACTAGAAAGTGAAGGAATGACGACGTTTCGATCCATCCTGGACCATTCTCAAGTCGATTGTGACAATCGAATCAAGACAATTGACTTCAGAATAGTCCAGGACGGACTGAAACGTCGTCGTCCCTTCACCTTCTAGTGTGTGGTCTGGTTAACATTAATATAGTTGTCTTAAATCAAATAATAATTACTACTGTGTGACAACCGATACAGAGAAGACAATTGCAATACAAGTCTAGAGCACTTAGCCATACATGTTTTAGAATATTTTCCATCGGCCTTTACATCTTTATTAAAGAGATTATTGCATCAACTATGGTACCTTGCAATGCTAAAAGCAAAATACAGAAATACAAAATATTGTTAATGAACATGTAGTCAGGTTCAAGATAAAATCAACGTAGCATAATATTCAATGTTTATGAACATAAATTTTTAAATATAAATTCAACTAACCTTCAGTGATGAGGAAACAAGTGATGTTTCAGGGAACTGCTCAGTACACTGAAGGTTCCAGTTTCTAGTATCTGTTTGGACATGCAATGCATCACAAACAGCATCACTAACTTCCTGCAGTGTGAAACTGGCCCCGAGATTAGTTTGTTCAGCTTCAAGAGATTCCATTTTCTGAAGGCCTTCATCAAGAGTTCTTTTTATTCTTTCCCTTTCATCTCGCAATTTCTGCATCATATCCTTATGAAGCTGCACTTCTGCTTTCAGTTGGCTGATATGGTCTTCATGATCCTTGATCCAGGTCTCCAAGTAAGCATCATAATTTTCAAGATGGTCTGTCACTTCCTTGCACTTATTAATATCAGTGCTAATACTGTTTGTATGAAGCATCTTTGAGTCATCTACCGACTTTTTTATAGATATGACTGTGCAGGTGCTACTTGGATGATCAACAACAGTACACACATGACAGATATACTCAGCACAAGTGGTGCACTGGAACAACTTGTACTGTCCATGATCTTCACAATGCCCTGCATTAAGTACTGGGGCCCTGATTAGAGGGTCAATACTTGTTCTGAGGTGCTGGTCAGTTACCACTGATTCACTGGAAGAATTGTCGGAATCCACCAACTCTAACAAAGCAAAGTTGATAGGAAGCTGCTCAGCTTCTGTAAGGGCTTGTTCTGTTCGGCAGCTAGGGCATAGTATAGTGCTGTTGTCCTTGATCATGTTGGTAATGCAGATAGAGCAAAATGAATGACCACATGAAACCAACATGCGTGGACGTCGGACCTCTGTGTCAAATCTCATGAAGCAGACTTTACAGTCTCCTGGATCATCCTGGCGATAAAAATTTTAACATACTGTATACCCGATAGCTTTCAAAGACATGATTTTACCTAAAAATTAAACACAATAACCAGATATATTTCAATCACATGTAAGCAACTGAGAGGGGCACAATATACCCATATGTTGTCATATCTTCGTATATGAGCAGAGCAATGTTAAGAGCAATATAGCAAAGGTTTCCATAATAAGTACAAATTACCTTGATGGTGATAATAGTGGTCAAGCTGTTTGTAATAAAGGTAATGTACGAATGTTGGGAGAGGACAAATCTGTGTTGTGGTGGTGATGGAAGTGGTGGTGGTGCTGGGAGTGGTCATGGTGTTGGAACTGGTGGTGATGGAAGTGGTGGTGGTGGTGGGAGTGGTCATGGTGTTGGAACTGGTGGTGATGGAAGTGGTGGTGGTGCTGGGAGTGGTCATGGTGTTGGAACTGGTGGTGATGGAAGTGGTGGTGGTGCTGGGAGTGGTCATGGTGTTGGAACTGGTGGTGATGGAAGTGGTGGTGGTGCTGGGAGTGGTCATGGTGTTGGAACTGGTGGTGATGGAAGTGGTGGTGGTGGTGCTGGGAGTGGTCATGGTGTTGGAACTGGTGGTGATGGAAGTGGTGGTGGTGGTGCTGGGAGTGGTCATGGTGTTGGAACTGGGTGTGTTGGGAGTGGTGGTGGAACTGATGGGGATATACTTTTATTTTTTACCTTTTTATCTGCCATTGTTAGACCAGAAGAATTAAGTGCCCGTGTTAAATGAAAATTGACCAAGAAGTAGTAAAATATTTTCTGGAAGAAAACAAAAAAATTTCATTAAAAATTGTAATTGATAACTTAAAATTAATGAACATTATATTCAACAACATTAGACATGCATAATTATAAAAATTTACAATATGCAAGCTTTAAGTAAATCAAATTCCTGTTGATTATTTGAACCGTTGTGACCTTAGTACTACCTTAGTAGTACTGTACAGTTAGTACAGTAAGTACTGTACTTATTACAGTACTACCTTACTCAAGGTAAGGTAGTACTGTTTTACAGTACTAAGAATTGACCTCATAACCACTATTATTTTATTATTAATTGCAACTATTTTTAAACAAGCCAAGTCGAGGATCAGCCGCGGGGACACTAAAGCCCCGAAATCATCTCAAGAAGAAGAAAGCCTAACCTATCATAAGCTAATGAGAATAATCAATTTTTGGTGTGTGCGTGTCCATAAGGTGTATGACGTCATGGTTTTTGGATGCTTGTGGCACAGAGTGCACCACAACATGCATCAAGTACTGTATGCTACATGCTACTCAAAGTGCACCACGACCTTGGCCGTGGTGCACCAAACGCTTATACCAAGCATAGCACAACATACAAGTATAATTAGGGTCATAGCCAAAAGGTCTTGGGTTAAATTCCTACAGCTGGATAGTAGTGTTTAGGTCAACGTCTCCTTTTACCTGATTCTGTTCACCTAACAGTAAATAATTACATGTACTGTTGGACTTAAGTACATGGTTAAGTTACAAGGTACTGTACATAAGTACATGGACGCTATTGAGGGCTGCATCTTAGAAAAGGTTAAAAGTTGGTCTAGGAGAACTTGGATAAGCCTAACAGGCTTCAGTTTCCCGACTTAGGGAAGAAAAATAGAATCAAATGCACTGCCACCTCTTAATAATCTACAGAGTACACTACCACCTAAGGACGAACAACTGGGAGAATACGTATCTCCCAACATCTGTACTGATGCAGTCATCGAGTGGATAAACCCTTCATGCAAACTGCACCTACTATCAAGAAGAAGAAGAACACCGCCTTGACCACTATCTACGTGAATGTGAACACCTGAGAGATATTAGGAATAACTGTAGAATAATAAACCCCACATTGTTTGAGTTAGGAAAACACTTTTTGTCAAATGTTGATACTGTTCTTAAAAGATTTCCCAATTTTGCACCCGCAAGATAACGTAAGCTTTTAAGGGTTGATAAATGTTAATCTTCTTGTTTGAGGAGCTGTTCACTTGAGACAGTTAAGCAAGTCCCAGCTGTGTCTGGGTACAAGTGACAGGATGAACAACCCAGCGGGTTTTCTTCCTATTGGAGAGTGTTGTACATGCTGCTATGGCGGTATGTTCACTCACAAGATGAGTGGCGCTGCCCAATAAACTCGCCCCTCGGGGCAAAATTAAAAAATTAACAGCGTCGCCTGCAGGAACCTACTCAAGATGTCTGTTGTTGTTGTTGTTAAAGTGGGTGCGGGGCAGCTACAGCACTGGGTCGTGTGAGCCCCGTCAATCCAAGAATAGGCAAAATATCTAAACGATCTAGCTGTGTGCCCCGCGGGCACGAGTTGCGTAGTCCACAGACGTTTATGAGTAGCCTGCAGGAAGCACAGAACGTCAGACGAATAGCGTTGTAGCGCAATTTCTAAAGTAATTGGTGTCTATCTGCAGAGAACGGGAAGTGTGTGGCGGGAATTTTGAATGCCATACGGGTCACAGGGGAGACGCGTCCGAGATGCATGGTTCCGTGAACAGTGGAGCCTAGGATATGACCCACCATTTCTTCTAGACTGGCAGTGCAGCGAGTCTAGAAAACCCAAGTGGTGGAGATAAGCCACACCAAACTCGTGGTGATATAATGAATGATATTTTGAAATCTCACGCCGACCCAAATAGTATGGGGTTGTACTAACCCATGCATAGCATGTCCTCAAACATCTATAGATTCGTCAGCAAACATTAATAATTTATTACTTATTAATGACATTAATATAAAAGCCAGTTTAATGAAGCAAAAACATATTATATTTCTATTCAAACCCTTATTTCTACCACCCTGCCACGAAACCTAATTATAGTACTGTACTCTTATCGAGGACTGCCTAGGTCAACTATAGTACTGACTTCTTCAAAGATACAACCCCACAACAGTTGCCTAAGTCCCCTATTTACCGCCATTTTCCTCTCGTTTCCTATTTCATATCTGACTATTATCATTGTGCTTGTATTTATTAGTAATGAAAGGCCCAGTGGATCAAGATGGATATCCTTAGATGGCCACCCTCAATGTATAATTAACTAAAGTAAATATAGGTAACTAATTTTGTGGTTCATCGAAACTCGACAATTAAAAAATATATATTCTGCAAGGTGTAATGATGTTGGGCGAGTTAGGAGTGAGGAACTAATACAGAGATTCAAGACAGCAATAGAATTAGTTAGGAGCAAGGGAGGAATCCTGATCATATGTGGCATTCTTCCAAGAAAGGGAGTGGGAAATGAATGGATGTCGAGGGCACTTGGTGTAAATTGCCGGCTAGAAAGATATTGCAAATCTAATGCAATATCTTTCATAGACAACTGGGGACACTTCTATGGAAGAAATGAAATGTATGCTCGGGATGGGGTGCATGTATCGAGGGCTGGGGTTGTTGCTGTTGCGAACTCGTTGGAACCAGTGTTTAGAGGTGTTTGTTTGGGTTTAAACCGTTAGTAGATAGTGGTATGGGAATTGATTTGGAGGAAGGAGGTAATAAAAGTATGTGTTTGAGGGAGAAAGGAATTGGCAAAATGATCAGGGAAATTGAAGGGCCTCAAAATAACAATTCACTTAGGGTATATTAAGATATAAAGTCACTGTAACTATATAAGAAAAGTGCGTTACCTAATTCTGATAAGATGGACGATTGAGTGAGCAAGATCTGCAGTTGGCTGTAAAACCTAATATTACTTGACTATTTTGAAGGTATATGTGATTAGTTGTATGAAATTTTTTTGTTGTATGTTGAAATTTAGTTGTATGAAAAAACGGACCCCCATCATGCGCCCGGCGTTTTCGGGTGACCGAGCGGCAACACTGAAAAGTGCATACTCTTTTCGCTGTCCTGACCCTAATTTTCGATGTACTGATTTCATTTTTGTACCAATGTGTTCGCAATAGAATGATCTATAAGAACATATGTATATGTCACCAAAGCATGAGTTAAATCACACAAAAAGCTAAAGAACTACATCGATCACTAGCCGTGAGCTCCAAACAGCGACGAAATGTTTCCATTCTTTTCACGGTTGTCAACTCCACACTTGTCCTACAGCGTTAAATTTGGTATCACTGTGATCGCAATTAAATTCCCTACACGGACATATGCATATAAATGTAGAATCATGATCGTGGCCCACACCAAGAGTGTGTGAAGTAGGCGATTACCCTCGCCGTGTCAACAATTCAATAGTCTTTCCACTAAGTTACAATACAATGCCGTTCTCCCAAATAGGCCATGTGCCTATTAGAGAAAACGGATATTTAATGGCAAACATTTTCATACTAACCCCAAGTCGATCGAATAAGAATTGGATTTTATACCAATATTTTTTAATCGCGTGTAAATTTACGACTCTGGTGCGGAACCGATAGAAATAAACACGTCGTATATTTACGACCCGGCTGCGTGAAAGTGTAGTAAAGGAATGTGGTATGTGGTAAAAGATACAAACATGAATTTGGCAGAAAAGGCTGGCAATTATGAAAGTTTTTATTTCTATTGTGTAGGCTATGTAAACGTTTAATAAATTTAGTAGAAAGATAGAATATATATATGGAAATTTGATTAGTGTTTTTCTCTAAAATATAATGCTATTTCTGGCCCACCCAGGAAACAAACACAGGATTCCCAGTTATGAGTCGAGAATGAAGCCCATTGCACAATGAGACTCAACTAAGTGTAAGGCATTCTTATGGTTAAGAATAGGAATGGAAATAATGACAATCTACAAATTAAAGAGCTTCTCAACTACATTGCTCATGTTATATAATTCAAGCAAAGGATTTCCTGATACCAGAGGAAGGAAATTGTTATAATCCTCATCAGGGGAAAGTGCCTTTATTCAAGGCAGGTGGCTGAGCGGACAGAACACTGGACGCATGATCCTGTGGTCCCAGGTTCGACCCTGGGCGCCGGTGAGAAACAATGGGCAGAGTTTCTTTCATCCTGATGCCCCAATTACCTAGCAGTTAATAGGTACCTGGGAGTTAGTCAGCTGTCATGGGCTGCTTCCTTGGGGTGGAGGCCTGGTTGAGGACCGGGCTGCGTGGACACTAAGCCCCAAAATCATTTCAAGATAAGGCTAAGTAGTGCGAATTTAGTGAATATTATGTTACAATCATATGGAGCAAGAGGCAAGTAATAATGTATATTTTAAGAAACCAGCTTAATGTGTGTGGGAAAGAAGTGGAATGAGAGGAGCAGGGGATATCTGTTCAAAAAACAATTCATGCCTTGACTCTTGATTTTGGCACCTGTTTCCTATACATTCAGCATGGTTTGTATTGTACCCTGTAACTTATCTGAATTTACCACTGGATCACCATTTCTAGTGGCCACGATGAAGACAGGAAGCCAGTGGCTTGTTAAATGTCCCCCAATTTTTCATGATTATTTTATCCAGCTGAATTTTGAACTGTAGCAGTGTCTTGGCATTTAAGGCATTGGTGGGTAGGCAGTTCCATGGGTTCATGACCCTGCAGGTGAAAAAGCATCTCCTGTGTTCTGTACTATATTGTGGTTTGTTGAGCAAGAAACCATTGCTCCTTGTATGTGCTACATTTGACTTCTTGAAAAAATGGTCCAGATCAATATCTTCCAAATTGTTCAGTATTTTACAAATTTCGACGAGATCAGCCCTATCATGTCTGGTTTGCAATGTTGTTAGTCCTGTGGCCTTCAATCATATCTGGTATGAGAATCTACTTCGTTCTGCAATGAATTTTTGTTGCCCAGTGTTGAA